CACACACTTTCCAGACCCTTTGAGTTGACACCGTATATTGATGATTTTGAGTCTGCATCCTTCTTTTAAGATCAGCACTTTCATACTCAACCCAGACTATCCAGCAATTCAGCCCATAATTTTATCCTATGTCTCAAATTGCCAGGGAGAAAAACAGCTGGGGTGTTTTGTTTACCACTTCATTAAATAAAAAAGCATCTACCTTTCCACAACTCCTTCCTCCAATCCTCCATCCACATGTGTCCAGATCAATTCTATAGTTCAATAAAGCTTTCCCAATCCAGCCTGCTCTACCCACCCAAGTCCACACTGATACTTGTTCTCTGGATGTTTATAGATCCAAGTCCCTAAAATCCATCTTACTTATTTGGTGCTTTTATCCTGTCATGGAGACTTGGTGTGGTACTATAGGATAAGAACCAGTGTTAGCCACTAGGTTAGTAGTTCAAACCCACCAGCCACTACTTGGAAATGCTATATGAGCCAGACCCAACTTAATAGCACTTAACAACAACAAATTGCATCATGACTAGTTGCTTACCCTTAGTAGTTTATTCTCGTATACCCAAGTAGTTTGGAAATTCCTTCAGGATGAAATTTATATTTTATTAATTTTCAGTCCCATATTTCAATATTATGGAAGAGTGCCTGACACATGATAACTGTTGATTAGTTAATGGGTTGATTAGTCACACTGGAGTAACTGATAACATTTCACTTTCTTAGTTGGAGTATTGATAGAGGCCTCAGCAGGGTCTGTGGAAAGCACAAAGTCATTGTATCCCTAAAAGAAGAGATGCTAGAATAAGAAACAAAGATCCAAAATCTAATGGACAGACTGTATGTTTATGCATGCTACTCAATGTCAGGCATGCATTTGTGTAATGCTTTTCAACTGAGACACTGAAAAGAGTTTTTTTTGTTTGTTTTTTTTTTTTTTTTTTGCAATTCTTTGGTCTCTGTATTCTATGGTTGGGTGAACATATATATGCATACATTGCCTGAACCAGACTTCCAGTAGCCTAAGATTATCTCTATTATAACTATCATTGCCCTGATCTTTGCTTGCACTTAGCATTACCTGGGCTTATTTTGCCTTGTAGCAGTCATTCTGACACCAGAAAACTGTGGGATTTAATTTCAGGAAGTGAAGTGAGAGGTTAACTGATGACTTGGGGTGGGGTGGAAGAGGGGAGGAGAGGGGAAGACAGAACATAATAATTCATTTTAATGTAGTAATACATCTTTAATTTAAAGCTCCTTTATCAGATAAGGCAAGCAGAAATAAGCTCTTGCTTCATTTTTAATTGACTAATACACACCAGAACAGATAAGATGCTTCTTTTCAACCAAGGACAGTCATTTCCTTATGACTAGAAGTTGTAGGGAAGATAGAGGAGAGGTCTCAGAACATCTTCTGCTCAAAAAAGTTTTTTTTTTTTTTTAAAGCAGATGGGCTTCTATTGCTCTTACTCAAGGTTGCAGTTCTCTTTGGCATGTTCCCACATGCCAAATTAATTAATTAATCCTGATTAACTAGACAGATGCCTGCATCATATATGCAGAAGTGAGAGACAATGCATGGTTTCATGCCTGAAGGATGAGATGTGACTTTATCTTTCCACATTCAAGATTTCACAAAAGAAATCAATCATCTAGAATGAGTTTCAAAGCTAAAAACTTAACTTGTTTCTCTAAATGTCAGATCCCTAACCTGAAGAGCAGGATCTTTTGTTGATAATTGTGTTTTTCATTTTGTTTTCTTTGTAACTTATTCTTAAATTATCTAAATAAATACAAGTAGGTAGACATTTTGATTAAAATAAAATGCTCATGTGATTATATTAGTTTAACTAATTATATCAGATTATTGTAACATTGGAGTCCTGGTATGGCACTATAGGATAAAGCACTGGACTGCAATGTCAGTTTGAACTGCAAAGTCAGCAGTTCAAGCCCAACAGTCATTCCAAAGAAACCCTATACAGGTTTCTAACAGGGTCCCTGTGAATCAGAAAGGACCCTTAATAGCTGTTAGCAGCACTGTAGCACTGGCATAATTAAAGTATTTTTATTGTCACAGTGAAAAGTGAAAGCCAATTTTGATGCATAAATATTTTGCCTTAATACAAATCTTTTAAAAGAAAATCAAAAGCATCACAGGCTATTTAAAGCTATGCAGCACTTTTGCATTCTTCCTCTATTTACTCTATTGTCTTTGCAATTATACCGCAAGCTGAATGCTCTTTTCTCATTCTTGTGCAAACCCTCCAAAGCAGGGAGGATTATATACATGTTCAAAAGCATTGTCATACAGTTCTGTAAAAGATACAGATAAATGGAAATCTCAAATTTTAGAATCTGGTACTTAGTAGCCAAGGCAAGATTTGGATGAGTTAATTTTGGTTTTGAATGACTTTATAGAATTTGTTATAAAAAATTTAGGAAAGCATTGCTTTCTCATAAAGCTTTATTTTAATTCTTGGGAGCAAAAAAGAAGTGGAAGAGTCCTGGTGTGGTGCTGTAGGATAAGCACTGGACTGCTATCTGCAAAGTTTGTAATTTAAACCCACCAGGCACTTGTTAGAAACCCTACAAAGGGTGGATATGAATTGGAACAGAATAGACACCACTTAACAACAACAATAAGTTTGGACTGGAGTTGTCTATCTTTTCTGCTACAGTCCAGATCAACATCACATAGGCACAGACAAACCACCCACTGAGTTCTCAAAAATTCTTATACTTTATTTTAACTGGATATGATGCCCACCCCCATTTTAAGTTAGATAAACAGATACTAACTAAATGAAAGTTTTATTGAGTTTGACAAACAATAAAATGGCTTCAGTGATAAAGCTGCTTTTTCACCCTCTTAACCAAAAACACTAGTAAACATTTCACTGGCAAGTTTTGCAAATTGTAAATGCAACAGTTCTCAAAACAGCAGAGGCAAACATCTAAAAGTTACAGTTGAAGGACGAGGGAAGAATCAGTAACTTTCTGCAAATACTGGAAAATGAAACCACTATATTTCAAAAATTAGAGGCTAGACCTAGCTGTGTCAAACCTTTTGATCTCCAACATATGGTTAGAATTTTACATTCAATCTGAGCACCAAGATAACTTCCCTTTCTGAAGACTGCAAAGATTGTAACTAGTTTCTCAGTCGGAGAGGAGAGACTGAAAGAGTAACTTTTAAGGGGAGCAAGAAGGTTGAACCTCTAAGTGCTCCACAAATTCAAGTGATAAGAAACTGGCTTTCCCATACTTCAGTGGAGCAGTAAAATCAGAACAGGGAGCAAATAAAACCCTGTGCAAGATTCTCAGATGCTTCCCACGGGGGGCTACCCATACCCAGTCCCTTTGGACCACATGATTTAAGGGATCGATCTCTAAAGTCCAAAGAGTGCTAAATTTATGTTGGAATCTACTCAAAAATTCTAGTTGCTTTCCTGTGTGTACTGTGCATCCTGCAGAACAAGTCCAATGCAGTTTTAGGAGTTATTCCTCCTCGGAAACGGTCGAGAGGATTAGTTAGCTGGCCATAGTACACACGGAATCGCCAGGAATCAGAATCGACTCCACTCGTTTATTTTGCTTTGTTTTTTAGTATGTTTGCTAGGGTTATAACTGCCCTTCCCTGTTCCACAGGAAAAGTCTGCTAGAACCTCCATCTGTGAAAACACCCGAAGTCCTCAACTCTTTGCTGCCCCCTCGGAGTCGTCAACACTCCTTAGTCTCTCATACCCGAAGAGCTCGGCGAAACTTCCCGCTGTCGATTTTTGCAATGCACCTGCTCTTCCCTGAGCGTTTAGTACAGGTCCGGGACAGCAGGCAGTTCGCGCGCTGAGAGCAAACCACACAGTATAGTACACAGGCGAGGATGCCAGGCCGCGCCGCGCAGCGTCCCCAGTGCTCAAACGGCGGCCACAGGCGCCTCCCTCAGTAAGTGGCTATGCCAGCACTTGCAGATTAGGCAGCAACCTGCAGACTGAAGCCCGCTTTACTCTTTCCATCAATGTACGATTGTCAGTTTCTTTGATGTGTGTTGACACCTAGGCAAACCCGAATAAACTCCTCTACTCTCCCTCCTTATTCACCACCATAGTCCCAAACGTGTACTTACAAGAGACACCTCCCGGCCTCCTGCTTTGAATTCAACAAAACAAAGCAAGCAGGGGCTGTGCATAGGAGAGTTATTCTACAGAGTCTATGCGGGGAAGCGGGGATTCCCTGGACATCACGAGGGATAGAGGGATCCTCCCACCTTTCCGGAAAAGCAAATTTGTGCCGGAAAGCCGAAGAAAGAAGACTTAAATTGTGAGGGCGAGGAAAATGGAGCAAAATCCTAAACTTTATGTTCAAGTTCTAGAAGTGGGTGCTCAGATAGGTGTTAGTGAATGCAGCGGCCATAAGAACCATTTATTCTCTGTTTAGATTCACACCCCACCCCCTCCCTTATTTGAGGTTTAAACGTTTTGCGAAGAGGATGGGGGGAGGGAGTAGGAAAAAAGGAAGAAGACAACTGCTGGAACCCAGATGCCGAGGCCAAAACTAAGCCTACGTTGCCTGGAGAGCGAGGGTCCTCCTCTAGCGCGGGAAAGATGAAACCCAGAAGCGCGGGCAAAGCAGCTAGCTGGGGGATTAAAGGAGAAGTAGCAAGTTATGGTGGTGGTTGTTTCGAAGTGGGGGCTGGGGGAATTGAGAGAGGCAAAGAGAATGGGACGAGTCTCGTAGCCTTCTACTCATTGGTTACTCCTCCATCATCGGCGGCAGAATTTGCACTTAATGATCTTCTTAAACGCGTTTTGGAAGTCTTTGTTGAAATAAGCATAGATGACAGGGTTGAGCAGGGAGTTGGAGTAGCCCAGCCAGTTGATAATGGCACCCAACAGGGTGGGCATGTGGCAGCTACTTTTGCAGAAGGGAAGGACCAGGGCTACGATGAAGAAAGGCAGCCAGCAGAGGATGAAGGTGCCCATGATGATGCCCAGCGTCTTCACTGTCTTCCTTTCTCGAGCTAGGGCCATTTTACGCTTTGCCTCAGCGTTGCGTTCATTTTTCCTCTCGAAAGAGCCTTGCGCGCTAGAGGCGCTACCAGCCTCGCTAGGTAGAGGCAGGTGTTCTTTGGAGTTGCCTACTCTGTGCACCTCGATCACCTCCAGGGCGGCACCGTAGTCGCCCTGCCTCACTGCCCCATTCGCGCAGGAAGCACCCCCTGATTTGTTCTCCACTCCTCGCCTCCAGTCCCTGTTCCCCGACTCTCCATTCACACTCTTCTTAGGCTGAGTAGTTGGGGAGGCTCCACGGCGACGGGTGTCTGCACTCTTCTTTTCCACCTTTTTGACAGTCTTTCGGATTCGGAATCGCGCAGCTCGAAAGATGCGACCGTATAGAACCAGCATGAGCAACAAAGGGATGTAGAAAGCGCCAAAGGTGGAATAAATAGTGTAGCCATGGTCCTTGCTGATGGTGCAGGCGTCGGGGTCGGAGCGGTCTTCAGGGGTGCGCCAGCCCAGCATAGGCGGGATGGAGATGAGGAAGCCAACAAGCCAAGTGAGGGAGATGAGTGCAGCCGCGCGCCGGGGCGTCCTCTTGTTTACGTAGTCGATGGGGTCGGTGATGGCCCAGTACCTGTCCAGCGCGATGGCACAGAGGTGCAGGATGGATGAGGTGCAGCACAACACGTCGAGAGCGATGAAAAGATCGCAGGTGACCTGGCCCAGCGTCCATTTGTTGAGTACTTGATAGAGTGCGGCCATGGGCAGCACCAACACCGACACCATGAGGTCGGTGACCGCCAGAGAGCCGATAAGATAGTTGGCCACATTCTGCAGGGAACGCTCCAGTGCGATGGCGGCCACCACGCACGCATTGCCCAGCACAGCGCAGAAAATGAGTGTGCCCAGCAACAACGAGGTGATCACCTGGTAGCTGAAGGTCACGTCGGATATGACTGTAGCATTGCCGCCTGCCCCAAAGGGACCCTCGGCCGAGGTGGTATTATTGCCCTGGCCAGGACTGAGTACATCCATGCCTGCGCTCCCCACTGGGGCAAAGGAGGGAAGAAAGATCGTCTCGAGGATCCCCCTTGCTCCTCCCCCTGGGGTCTAACTCCCCTTTTTCTTGGAACGCTTTGGGGAAGGATGTGCTGGGACCCTGGCAGGAAGTTCTTACTTCTTTGGCGAAAGCATCACCTTGGAGCGGCTTCTAGACTCTGCCTGGGCTCCCGGCAGAGTGGTCCCGTGCGTTCAGGTTCAGAAACACCAGCTGGGGAACTGGAGCTGGCTAGAGAGCAGCTCCGGGAGCGTTCCGCGGTCGAGAGGTAACTGTAACGTCTGTCTCTCGCTGTCCATTTTAATTTGCCATTGCCCAACTGTCTACCTGATCCGGAGTATCCCCAGTAGTAAACAGTCTCTAATCCCAGAAGTAGCTAGAATAGAGAAACCCCATCCTCCATGATCACTGTGACCCTACTGTCCCTCCCTCTCATCCACGGTCTTCTCCACTCTCTTCTCTCTAGCCTCCTCCCTCCTTCTCCCCACCTTTCCCTACTAGCCTTCCTTTTCCGTCTCCCTCTCCCTTCTCACTCAGCTTTCTTTTTCCCTCTAGGTGTAGCTCCAACAGCCAATCTCATTCCCTCCCACGCCATCCCTCCCCTACTCACACTTCACCAACCTCGTCTCCTTCCTTTAGCGCCTGCTCCACACCCCCACTCAGAGCCTGGCGATTTTAGTGCTAGTCCCCTTGGTAGATAAAGGCTCAGAAGTATTTTGGGAACACCCGATTATCTGGTCAGATCAACATTACAGCTTGTAAATTCCACCTCCCACCCAGCCAAATTCAAGGGGGATTTTTTTTTTTTTTTTTTTTAACTTACCCAGTGCCTCTGATTTCTGTCAGATTCTTAAGTAGTGTCAACATCACAGAATGGAAATAGGAAATGAATAAGACGACACAATGATAAGAAATTGGAGGTGAACATCCCTGGGTCAGCCCATTAATCATTGTTAATTGGTGGAAAGTAGACTGAGTTTGTCTTTAAAAAATAATAAAGAACAAAACTACACCCTTTCATTGTCTCACAGTCCAGCCTTACTCCCCTGGGGAGCTGGTTGCTTGAGACTTTCTTTTACTTCACAATCTTTGGAAACTGGAGAAGAAAGAAATTATAAAAAATGTGTTAAAGGGCAAAAACAGGTAGAAAACTGCATCTCAAAGTGAAGGAGAGATCCAGTTTGGTATGTGATTTGCACATGTACACACATATCTTTCTATTACCATTTATCCTTTTAATTGAAATGGATATGTTGTTGTTTTAATTGAAATAGGTTTGTTGTTGTTGAGTGCCTCAAGTCAGTTCAGATTCAAAAAAACCTTGTGTAAGATTTCCCAGAAGCTACTGGTGGGTTTGAACAGCTTGACCTTGTGATTAACAGTCCAATGTTTATCCAATAGCGCTACACCAGGAGTCTCCTCCCATAGGTATTGTTGTTAAGTGCCATCGAGTCGGTTCCGACCCATAGCGACCCTGTATAGGGTTTCCGAGGAGCGACTGGTGAGCTTGAACCACAGACCTTGCAGATCAAAAGGCTTCGCAGTCTGGCGCATTAACCCACAGAGCCACACATGACGAATAAATTTTGAAACGGAGATATTTTTTGCCTATTAGTGGTAAATGATGACAAAGCATTTCTTAAGGCCTTTTGCGTTCCTTACCAGAGCCCATAAACTAGAGGGAGAATTTAGTGGAGTGGCACTGTGCTTCTCTTAAACTCTGCAACTGTGTTCTGCACCCGGACGACTCTACTCAATAAGGGTCTTTGTCGCCACCTTCCGGCTAAGGCTTTAGAGCGCCATCTGGAAACCCTTGTCTTGTAGAAAATTAGATAGGTATTGAAGAAATCTCAGAATTTCAAACAAAAAGGAAAGACTGATTAAAAGAAAAGTAGCATTAAGATTTTTCTTTTGTTTTATTCAAAAAATATTTTAATGTCCTTTTTTTGTCTTAACTTTGTATATCAAGCTTATTAAATTTACTGGTTTCTTTAAAATAACTGCAGCATCTGTCATTCACAAATTCTATGTGGGAATACAGTTTTACAAGACCTAGGCAAACAGGTCTCTCTGCACACATTTGCACACATTCACCTTTAATTTAAAAATAACAACAACAACAAAACATCATTAAAGTTTTTTCAAAAATGGGAAAGACTAAACATAGGAAATAAAGAGACTTCTATGGTTTTTCCTAAACTGGTTTCTTACTAAGACAATGAGATGTAATTCCATTTAAACATAGTAAAGGATGGATTAGTAATCAATTATAATCAACACAACAAAACAAGTTTCACTAATATATCATGATATGTGACTGAATGAAGAAAAGGTGAAAAATGTCATCCCCAAAGTAGGTGGTCCTAGATAACACACACAAATTCACTACAGATTGTACTAGTTTTGATATTATGTTCAAATTTAAGTTTTCAATTTCATAGTTTTGAATTCTCCAGATCCAACAAAAGAACAAACCCAGCTGAGTTGTTGAAGAGAGTAGAGAATCAGTGTGTAAAGTATTTGAAGATGGATTGTTTTATAGTTCCGTGCTGGGCACAGTTCCCACACAATTATTTCAGCAGGCTACAATAACGAATCTGCCATTTATGATGATTCACAGCATTGAGAAAAAAGAGGTAAGTATACATGGCTCGCTGAAGAATCTGAAGGAGTCTGCATAAGATCCATTCAAATATCCATTTCCCCTTTTAAAATCTTAACACAAACACACAACTAAATAGCCTTATTAAAATATATTGTTGTTGTTAAGTGCCGGTGAAGCGGTTCTGACCCATAATGACCCTGGATAGGGATTCCGAGGAGCTTGAACTGCCGACCTTGCAGTTCACACAACTTTGCAGTCCAGCGTGTTAACCCACAGTGCCACATTAAAAATTATAATGGGGCAATGTGATAGTTAAGGTTTTGTTGTTGGCTTGGATGGATTCTTAATGTTTTGGCAGTTAAGATTTAGTAATCCCCCATGATGAGATCTAATATAATGCAATTAATGTCGCGATGTGATCAGCTTTGATCTGTTGTAATTATCGTACATATTGCAAATTCTCACATCTATGATGTTAAGGAATCCAGATGTAATCACAGGATTAGGTTGTATCTTCAGTCAATTTCTTGAGATATAAAAAGAGAGAGAAGTGAAAAGAGATAGAGGATCTACTACCACCAAGAAAGAAAACCCAGGATTGGAATGTGTCCTTTGGACCTGGGATCCCTATACTGTGAAGCGTCTAGATCTAGGGAAAGATCGATACCAAGACACATAGTGATTTCCAAGGAATTCAGAGCTTCCAATCAGGGTTTGAGTGTAGTGGTTACGAATCGGGCTGCGAGCCTCAAGGTCAGCAGTTCGAAACTACCAGCGGTTCCGCGGGAGAAAAATGAGGCGGTCTGCTCCCGTAAAGATTTACAGCCTTGGAAACCCTGTGTAGGGTCTCGAACAACTCCACAGCACATAACAACAACAACAACAACAACAATTAGGGTTTGCAGATGCAAATACCTTTATCCAGAGCTGGCCCTCTGATTGGAAGGGGAGCATTCTAGCCTCCTAAACTGTGAGAGGAGGCCTGGTGTGGCACTGTGGGCTAATGCCTCAGACTGCAAAGTCTGACGCATTTGAACAGCAAGGTCGGTGGTTCAAACTCACCAGCTGCTCTGTGGAAACCCTATACAGGGTCGCTATGGATCGGAATCGACTTGATGGCACTTAACAACAACAACAACAAACAGTGAGAGAATTTCTGTTTGTTAATGCCATCGACTTGTAGTATTTCTGTTACAGCAACACTAGAGAACTAATACAAGCAATCTTTAAAATTTAGATTCTCCAAAGGCAAAATGATAAAATACAGTGAATTATGTTGCTGTTGTTATTGATAACTACTGTCAAGTTGAATCCAACTCATAGTGAGCTATGCACAATGGAACAAAACACAGCCTGGGTCTGCGCCATCCTCACATTTTTTATCTTTCAGTCCATTGGTTACAGCTCTATCTCCTTGGGGGTCTTCTCCTTTTTCACTGGCCCTCCCGTTTTCCACTCATTGTCCTTCTCCAGGAACTAGTCCGGCCTGACAACATGTCCCAAGTACAATAGACAGAGTCTCACAATCCTTGCTTATAAGGACCATTCTTGCTATACTTCTTCCAAGACAGATTTGTTAGTTCTTCTGGCAGTCAATGGTACTTTCAATATTTTTCTCGGATACTATAATTCTGAAGCGGTCTGCATCATTCAGTATTTGGCCCATGGAGTCCTTCAATATATTAAGTTTAGGCTTGAGTTCTTTCAGCTTGAGAAATGTTAAGCATGTTCTTTCTTTTTGGTTTTCTACCTCCAGGTCTTTGTACATTTCAATATAATACTTAATTCAGGTTTTTTGGTTGCCCTTTGAAATATTCTTTTCAGTTATTTAATTTCCTCACTTTGTCCAGTTGTTTTAGCTTTTATACACTCAAGAGAAAGTTTCAAAGTCTTCTCTGTCATGAATTTTAGTCTTTTCTTTCCTGCATTACTTTTTGCTTTATTCCTGTGTGTTGTTCCTTTATTTTGTTTTTAAGTATTTATTATTTGTTTTTAAAGTTTTTATTGTGCATTGAGTGATAGTTTACAGGGGAGAACATCAGTTTTGCACTCATTCTGTCATATTTTGTATCATTGAAATGATTACAATCCCCTCCATGCATCATCATTCGACAGTATTTACTTCTATTCCCTTTGTTGTTGTTTTTGTTTTATTTATTTGGATCCTGCATGATGTTCTTGATATCAACCTACAACTCTTCTGGCATTCAAACATTAGTGTCAGATATATTATAACTGATGTGGTCAGATATAATATATGGTTGAATTTAGATGGTCTCTAAATTCAAGTGGTATATATTCAAGGTCATATTATAGCTCTTGTGGAGTTGTTTTAATATTCAGTTTCAGTCTAAACTTGTATATGAGCAATTAATGCTCTATTCAACCATCTTCCTGTGATCTTTTTTTAGCTGATACTATTGAGCCTCTCCACCGTCTCTGTCCACAGATGTGGTC